CCATGCCAGTAAAAAATAAAATAATTAACGGTCCCCTGGGAGGTACGATAGAGAGAGGAGGTAGAGCTAACTCTGTATTTTATTGACTTACTTAGTTGTCCTCTGCTTACAGGTGTAAAAGGTACTGGCTGTACGTCTAACAATACTATAGAAGTAGAGAGGGTACTGGGAATAGAGGCTGCAAGGTAATGCATCAGTTTCTCATTCTATAAGATAGTTACTCTCAATAGACCCCTCGTAGCACGTCGGGATGCAGCTCAATTGGGAGGGCATAACGATAAAGCCCTATTTATGCGTTTTAATGTTTCAGACAAACGATCATGAACGAGATCATCTACACAATGAAGAACCATGGTATGAGTATTGATGTGCGACACGTTATGTTACTGGCAGAGCTCATGGCATTTAAGGTAAAAAATATATCCTATCATTTCAGTTCTTCTCTCCCATTTGTTTTACCATTTCAATCTTCTTCACGGTAATTCGTTAAAACGTAAACTTACATAAACATTTGAAGGTTTTCTATTTTTTTCTAATTTATTTTCGTTTGTCGTTCAGGGGGAGATCCTTGGGATCACGCGCTTTGGTCTCGCGAAGATGAAAGAAAGTGTTCTAATGTTGGCTTCGGTAAGACTGTTATCTTTTGAATCCTACTCAGGGGGTTACCCTGGGGAGTTCAACCTTCATCTCCTCCCCTCCCCCCAAATTTTTCAAATTTGAACTGGCTAAAAAAAATTCCCAGTGATGAACAGTTATCAGTTCGATAGAAATGGAACCCCCTCCTTTCTAGATAGCTGGATATTACTTTTGTTATCAGCATAATTTGATAAACAATTGTGCTCTTATAGTTTGAGAAAACTGCAGACCACTTGTTCGAGGCGGCCCTTCATGGTAGAACCGACCCTATTGACGGTAAGAATGTTTGCTTATGTATACCTGTTTCAAACAATGTTGTCGGTCGGAGATATAACATCTGAAATCTGAGATTGAGTAGCACTCTGCAAAATGTAATATATTCACAGTCAAAAAAAGTAGGGGGGGGGGGGGCAGGTGAAAATTTGAAATGTCCAGAATAATTCTTAACACCCCCCTTAAAGTCATGCAAAAAAATACGATCCCCCCTAA